TGCTCAGGTGGGTCTCGAATCCGCGGGCTCAGGCAATCCATTCACCTCAGCCTCCCAAAGTGCTGTGATTACAGGCTGAGCCACCGAGCCCGGCTGGTCACCAGATATTATGGAAAAGTCTTGGGCTATAAAACATGGAGTAAATCTAGGTGAAATGTTACAGACATAATTTCAAATGACCTTATAAGAAATTTCAGGATATCCCTAGGGACCCAACAACAGAGAAAAAGAAAGAAATCACAGGATGCAAGAGTTGTCCTTGGAGCACGTGTTGGTTTCAGTAAGCCATAGCTTTGTGGTTCAACAGACCTCAGAACAGGGGACAAAACTCTGGATCTAAGAGCACTTGGGAGTGGGCTGGAAACCTTTATAGGAAGCTGCAACCCTTGTAGGGCTGCACTTCAGTGTGATAGGTGACCCTGAATAAAGCCACAAAGAAATGTGTATAGTTTAGCCTGGGCTGTTGGTGGGAAAGAAAAGTCTCAAGGCCTACTCTCACTTAAGTTTAGGGTTAAAAACACACACAGCCAGGTTTGGTGGCTCATACCTATAATCCCAGCACTTCAGGTGGAGGTGAGAGGATTACCTGAGTCCAGGGGTTCGAGACCAGCCTGGACAACTTGGAGAGACCTCATCTTTACAATAACTTAAAAAATTAAGCTGGGCTCGGTGGCTCAGCCTGTAATCCTGCACCTTGGAAGGCTGAGGTGAGTGGACTGCCTGAGCCCACGGGTTTGAGACTCGCCTGGGCAACTTGGCGAGACCTCATCTCTACAATAAATCAAAAAATTAGCCGGGCGTGGTAGCGTGCACCTGTAGTTCCAGCTACTCGGAATGGTGAGGCAGAAGGATCACCGGAGCCCAGCAGGTCGAGGCTGTGGTGGCCGGGAGCGGCCACTACACTCTACTCTGGGCAACAGAGTGAGACTCCAACTCAAAAAAACGAAAAAAATTAGCTAGCTGTGGTGATTGTGCCTGTAGTTTTAGCTAGTTGGAAGGCTAAGGTAGAAGGATTGCCTGAGCCCAGCAGGTTGAGGCTGGGGTAGCCGTGAAAGTGCTACTGCACTTCAGCCTTGGCACCAGAGTGAGAATTTGACTCAAAAAACCCCAAAAACACAGCCTGGATTTCAGAGTGAGACTCCAACTCAAAAAACAAACAAACAAACAAACAAAAACCAGCTGGGTGGTGTCTCATGCCTATAATCCCAGCACTTTGGGAGGCCAAGGTGAGAGGATTGCCTGATCCCACAGGTTCAAAACCAACCTAGGCAACTTGGGGAGACCTTAGCTCTACAATAAATCAAAAAATTAGCTGGGCATGATTGTGCCTGTGCCTGTAGTTGCAGCTACTTGTAATGAGGAAGGATCACCTGAGCCTAGCAGGTTGAGGCTGTGGTGACCGTGAGTGTGCCACTGCACTCCAACCTGGGCGACAGAGTGAGACTCCAACTCAAAAAAAAAAAAAAAAAAAGACCCCAACCAAACAAAAAAACACAAACACAAAAAACAGCTGGGGCATGGTGTCTCATGCCTGTAATCGTAGCATTTTGGGAGGCCGAGGTGAGGGGATTGTCTGAGCCCACGGTTTCAAGAACAGCCCAGGCAACTTGGTGAGATCTCATCTCTACAATAAATCAAAAAATTAGCCAGGTGTGGTAGTACATGTCTGTAGTTCCGGCTACTTGAAAGGCTGAGGTGGAAGGATTGCCTGAGCCCTGCAGGTCGCTGCTGGGGTGACTGTGAGCATGCTACTGCATTCCAGCCTGGGTGACCGGAGTGAGACTCCAACTAAGAAAAAACTCAACAACAAAAACAAAAACAAAAACATTTTTTGTGGTCTAGGACACCTATTTAAAAAAAAAAAAACACAGCCGGGTTCGGTGGCTCAGCCTGTAATCCTTCACCTTTGGGAGGCTGAGGTGAGTGGATTGCCTGAGCCCACGGGTTCGAGACCCACCTGGGCAGTGAGACCTCATCTCTACAATAAATAAAAAAATCAGCCGGGCGTGGTAGCACATGCCTGTAATTCCAGCTACTCGGAGGAAGGCTGAGGTGGAAGGATCGCCAGAGCCCAGCAGGTTGAGGCTGCGGTGGCCGGGAGCGGCCACTGCACTCCAGTCTGGGTGACAGAGTGAGACTCCAACTCAAAAAACAAACAAACAAACAAAAAAACAACAAAACAAAACAAAACAAAACACAACACACTAAACCAAGATAGGTAGCCCTCAGAAGTGCCCGGAAAACACAAAAAGTAAATCTTCTCAGGAGAAATGCACCCTCAACCCAAGCCTTGAGATAAAAGATAAAAGCCCAGAAATTCACAAATGGCAGGAGCAACATGACTCAGCACATTGGAGAGAAGCAACTATGATCAAGAGCCAGCAGGAACAACAGAAAACATAACTGGAGCTATTGAAATTGCCAAATAGAGTATATTACAAATTTGTTTGAAGTAATTAAACAAATAGAAAAAGAGTCACTTTGGGATATAGCCCAGGCAGATGCTCTTAGTGAGCAGAACTCAGGCCTACTCAGGGAACATCCTGCTCCATTGGAATCTGAAAAGTTTCCAAGTGGATTTCAAAATTGCTATGAACCAGTGATGTTCAGAGCCACCTGTTCTTCCCCTGTTCACATGGAGTATTTACTGTTATCTTTCCCTGTTTCACCATTGTAGGTTGGATATGCTGGGCAGACAATTCATCTTTTTAGTATGTAGACCTCTGGATCAAGGGAGCTGCACTGCAGAAGCCACATCCATCCTAGGATGGACCATGAGATCCTGGACTTTGAACCTGATGCTGGGGTCGAATGAGAGTTTTGAGGATCTTGGGAGGTACACTGGAAAATTGCTGGGGTCCAGCCTCCGCTGAGCAGGGCCTGAGTTGGGGGGAGGGAATGAGAAAAGAGACAGAGAAACAGCGGGATTGGGAGGGTCCTCTCTCTGGTATCCATGGGCCAGAGAGAACTCCTTTATTTTTACCACATGCCTCTTATATAGGACAAAAATCACACAAGGGGGTGTGAAACCATACAAGCAGGATATGTTAATGTCTGAGTTAAATCACACAAGCCGGGTAAGTATCAATGACTAAACTATGCATATCTTAACATCTATGCTAAGCAAGGCAATCACTTAGGATGAGCAGGTTCCAGGCCAGGGCCAGACTTGGCACTGCTTGGCTATCTGTAGAAATGCAACCAAAAGGTCAGGGGAGACAAAGAAAATGTAGGCTTAGTTCCTTGAATACAAGCCAAAGAATATAAGGACCGTGTCAGCTTATATTCTGGTTTCCTGCAGAAAATAACCACAGTTTGAGTTAAAAATATCACTTCCAGCTTGAAGACTGAGTTTAACATGTCTTTGGCTTTAGAGGTTAAACAGGCTCACTTCCAGCGACCTTAGTCGTGACCCCACCTGAGACACACACACTCACGACCACATCCTGGATGTAAATATCCAAATTCATTCATTTCTTGGAGAACATTTACTAGGCACCAAGTAGGTCCCAGGTTTTTTTTTTTTTTTTTCTGAGTGGGAGTCTCACTCTGTCACCCAGGTTGGAGGGCAGTGGCACCCTCCCGGCCACCGTAGCCTCGACCTGCTGGCCTCAGGCGATCCTTCCACCTCTGCCTTCCAAGTAGCTGGAACTACAGGCACGCGCCACCATGACCGGCTAATTTTTTGATTTACTGTAGAGATGAGGTCTCGCCAAGTTGCCCAGGCTGGTCTCGAACTTATGGGCTCAGGCAATCCTCTCACCTCGGCCTCCCAAAGTGCTGGGGTTATAGGCGTGAGCCACCGCGAACGGCCCGGTACCAGGTTCTAAGTCGCGCCAGCTATCACTGGAGGAAAGGGAGAACGTTAGGCAAGAAGCACTTGGAATCACACGTGAGGAGTAGAACTTTATCGGATAAACTTGGTAAGCGACAGAGGCGGAGTCACCCAAAAGCACCAAGTTGCCCGGGAGCAATCAAGCGGTACGGCACCTTCTGCGCATGCTCAAGTTTGGCTCCTCCAATGGGGGGGCGGGCCGGGGCATTACGTCACCTCGCGGTGTCTGCGTGTGACGCCACTGTTCGGCGCTGACTGGAAAGGGACGGGGCACACGTGTGTGGTGGCGCGGCGGGCGGGCACATGGCGAGTTCTGCGGGCCTGGCGCTGTGCGGGCAGACGCTGGTGGTGTGGGGCGGCAGCCGGTTCCTGGCCACCTCCACTGCGAGCAGGTGAGGGGGCCTTGGAGCAGGGGAACCAGGCTGCGGGGGCAGGGCTGTTG